TCTCATGTGCAATCTATCGAGTTCCATTGGAAGTGGTCCTTGGTAAGCCTTGTTGCTTGAGTGTGACGCTGGGTCTGGAACACTCAATGATCCTAAGATGTTCTCAGCTGACCATGTCTGATTGCTTCTTTCATATTGTAGCAGCTTTGCTCTTAACTCTTCATACGTGGTCTTATCAGTGATATCATGTGTGCACAGTATCAACATGATGTCACTATTTACGGTCAAGAGCATTCCCATGACCCCAAAGCCTCCAAGCGAAGGTCGTGTCGTGTCCCACAGGACAAGCATGGAGTCCGAATGCTTTAAGATGGCGCCCATGTTCAGGACACCCTCGGCCTTCACTGCTTGATCCACCTGCTTCATGCAAATCCGACCCAAAAAGATCGCCTGCTTCGGCCGCCAGAAGAACGGCGTATGTCGGCGTATTTGTTCATATACACATAGACTTTCAGCTACTTCTTACATATACATTTATGCGTATGTATTTGCATGTATCCGTATGTGTCCATGTGTCGATATGTATATTACATATGTGTATCGTCGTGACGTGTGGTCTCTTGACGTGTGGTCTCTTGAAATGTTTCTTGCATATGAGCACAGCAGGTTAATATAACAACGGACGCGAGTAGGCACGACGCTGTAAAGAGACATGACTTCAGATCCGGCATGAAAAATAAGGAGAAGTTATCATCCATGACAAGTATGCGTTTTGACAGTATTTACAAGGGAAAAAAGGGCGAGGTGGGTCATGGGGAGGGGGGCGTCCATATATGCTCATATATATATATATATATATATATATATATATACGCAGTTCACAGATACATGGGTGTTCTACAGGCATGTGCGCCGAAGCTTCATGGGTTCACATCCAGCTCCAGCTGATCTGCACATTATCCGACTTTCGAACTTCAGCTTGAGCGATGCCGGATCTGACCTACAACAAGAAATATGAAGTTCAGGTTTATTGGCTCCTTCTGTTAGCTTTGTGTCTAGCGCCACTGCTGTGAACAAAGGAAGCATCAGATCATCAGAACCACAACATACCACAACGGTTGAGCGCATCACTCACTCGTTTGCAGCTGTATCGTTAGATCACCTGCCCGACTGACTAAACGAATGACGGACTGACATAGTGATTGACAGACTGAGAGACTCACTGATAACAGTAGCAATAGCAGAATAGCAATAGTCATGGTCATAGTAATAGTAGCAGTAATGGTACTAGTAATGGTAATCTTTCCTGCTTGCCTACTTTTTTGCTTGCTTGCTTGCTTGCTTGCTTGCCTCCTTTCTTGCTTACTTCTTTGCTTGCTTGCTTGCTTGCTTGCTTGCTTGCTTGCTTCTTTGCTTGCTTCTTTGCTTGCTTAACAGAGCTACAAGTAGTGATAGTAATCGTAATAGTAGTAGTAATCGTAATCTTTCTTGCTTGCCTACTTTTTTGCTCGCTTGCTTGCTTCCTTCCTTGCTTCCTTTCTTGCTTACTTCTTTGCTCACTTCTGTGCTTGCTTGCTTGCTTGCCTGCTTGCCTGCGTGCTTGCTTGCTTGCTTAATCGCTTCCTTGCTTCCTTGCTTGCTTGCTTGCCTGGCGGGCGTGCTTGCTTGCTTGCGACACGACGCGGCCGGAAAAAAAGGATAAAAAAACTGCAAAAAAAATAAGCAAAAAATACCACCACCAGTGGGAGGTCAGTGTGGGTGCAGCAAATCGCATGCATGTTGCAACTACATGTTGAAGCAAGCTGAGCAAATGTCGCTGCTATGTAGATACGCCAACAACAAGATCGTAAAGTGCTCACATGGTAGTGTGAGACACGAGAATGTGGCGACTCTTTCAATGTCGTTACCATTTCCTCTCAAGGGACTTGCTTTCAGGATGAAGGTAGAAGCAGCCGCCTTTCTATGGCCGTTGCGACTGATTGAGCGAAGCGGGCATAGCTCAGCTAATCAGGCTTCGGTGTGTCAGTGCGAAGTGGCTTGGCAGTGCACGGCTGTGAAAGACACGGAGATCTTCCGCCTTGTGTGTCTCATTGCTATCGCACACACTGTGGCGATCTTGATCCTGAGCTTTGCATTCTGCGGATCGGCTAAGAAGCCTTCAAGCCATGAGGCGTCTTCTCGCAGGAGAAAGGGCGGAGGCTTTGTCCAGATGCCTGCCCGGACAACGTGTTGCTGCGTTCTTCGGTGATGATAGTATGTATCACGCACGGGTACTTCTACATGAAGTGGGACATTTTGACTCCGGATTCGGATGTTTATGTGGAGGACTTTTCAGGATATGGGGATCCTGGATGCGACTCTTTCAAGATCAAATGCAAGGACTTCACATTCTGGAGCCGGGTTGGGGCGGCCCGTGTATCTGGACGACGACGAGCAGGAAGCGAGGCCTTTCTCTTGGGATGGGAGGTGCATGACCCACAAGCTTGGCGACCTGCCGGAGTGATCCAGAGAGATGGGTCGGTTGTGGTGGCGACTGCCTTTTTGGGTAAAGCCTTGGTCCCCCGAGGAGTTCGAGGGAACGGGCCCGAGCAACGGGACGGAGTTGTTGCCACGTCCCCGACCGGGGCACGGCATGCCAAGCCGGTCGAGCCAGCTGAGGAAGGCTTCGTGTGGGCTGCTGCGGAGCCGATCGGTGGTCTCGTTCTTGGCCAGGAGGTGAGCGTTTACCCGCACAACGGACGTGCAGCTTGGGGGTCGCGTTGCCATGGCAAGAAGAGGCGATCATTGGGTTAAAGTTGAGCTGATCAGGCTGGAAAACTGCGAGGACTTTGCAGCGCGGTGCCGCGCACTGTTCGGGCAGCCGAGCGGCAATTTGGGGGCATGGAGGCGACGTTCCCCCGTTTTCTAGGCGAAGGCCTTGCTCGGAGCCGGGAGCTTCCGGGAGCCTCCTCAAGGGCAAGTCTGAGGATGGCGACCAGCTAGCAGCTCAAGCTTATCCGCACCGTTTAGGCAAAAGACACGATTGTGCCTTACGGCCCTACGTAGGGCCCAAATCGCCTGCGAAGGGCAGGAATATTGTCGGCCCCAGCACCTGCCATGGGTGCGTTTGCCGGCTACGGGCACGCAGTGCATAGCGGCAAATGTGCCATGCACAAGCTGGGCATTCAGGTTTGGCCCTCACCCGACATGATGGCGATCATGGGCGCAAAAGACACACTGTGTAAGGTGACTTTGTTGAGCATTCGTTCGGAGGACATGCTCGCAGACTACACAGCAGATGAGTTTACGACTGGCTTCAAGAAGAGGCCGGCTTTTCAGCCACGCGGCATCAAGCAGAACAGAGGCTCGTCATGCGAGGGCATTTGGACCACCAAACCGCAACCTGGCAGCTCATGCACTTCACCCGATGTGACGGTGTTTATGGGCTCGAAGGACATGTTGTGCAAGGCGGCCATGTTGAACATAGGTGTGAAGATGGTTTGGAGTCTGGAGGACGCGCTCGCACACTTCACCGTGGCGGCTGGCTTCAAGAAGACACTGGCTTTTCAGCTGCGCGGCATCAAGCGGAGCAGAGGCTCGTCAGGCGAGGGCATTTGGATCACCACGAAGGTTGGAGGACACGCTCACATACGTCCGTACAGGAGTGAGTTTGCCGCTGGCTTCATGAGGACGTTGGCTTTCCAGCTGCACGCCATCAAGCAGAACAAAGGCTCGTCAGGCCTTCATTCTAATGACGCTGACTCCGCTATCCTGACTTGGCAGTTCCTGATTAAGTGAGTGATAGAGTGATGGATGCTAGAGCGCTTTAGATGTGCGTGTGGAGGTCCTATGGCCTTCATGCTATGTTTGAGTTTGATGTCCCGATATCACCTCGACGAAGGTATCAGACATCCTGGATATCTTAATGGTGTAGGAATGGCCTCCGATATGTGGATCGTGCGTTATCTGGTGCTTTGATCGCCGATTACGGAATACAAAGCATCCTTTGTTGCCGTGCTTTCTTAGGCATCGTCCATGTGCCATCTTTGATTTTGTTGTGGGGGTGGGACAGCTTTTCCGCTTGCTGGTTACATCCCACCCCTGTCCGGTGAGCGCATACTATGTCTATAGATTTCTGCGCCACCTCACTTTTAATTAATTGCAGTTTGAATTCATCTTGCTAGGCGAGCGTCGTTTACCTACTCAACCGCAGAGAATGAAAAAAACGGCCCTACGTAAGCCCGCCCACCCAGGCCTGTGTGAACTCCGACTTGGGTGTCTCTGACTTGGGATGCTGGGCGCGTCTGTATGCACAACGGCTTATCTGTGAGCCGTGAGCTGGGACGCGCAATGAGTTATCTGAGAAGCATACCGCTACAAAAAGTGTGAGTGCGTCACATGTTCAAGTTTTGGAAAGCAAGGCTGAGTAAACTCAGCTACCGTTCACACAAAAGCTCGCAGCCACTTTTCTCAGGAGAGTTCGACTACTTTAAGTTTCACGACAAGTTCTGCTGCGAAGGTCTCCTTCTCCATTTGGTGGTTCGTTCTGTTCTTGACTACGAACCGTAGCCTCAGTGCGATCATCACTGAGTGTGAATTTCTCGGTGCGTTCGCTGACTGTGCTTTTGCTTTCAATGTTTGGTAGGTCCAATTTATTCCCGACAGGCCCTCACTCAACCCAGTTTCCGCCGGCACGCAGCTGGGTGCGAAGTCTAGACGGGAAGTATCTACCAGACTGACAAGCCTACGCACCATCAAAAATCGTTGCCATCACGCTACGCGTCTTCTGCCGTCTGTAGTTACACTGTAGTTGTTCCTGAGCTTCAGTCCTGGTCCTTCATTTTGCACATCGTTTTACATCATACAGACAATGTGGCAATTCGGCTCTGAAAGACCGGCCTGTGGGGCCGGCATTGAAACCGCTGCGCATCGTAGCGACCACCCAGAGCTCCTGCCGGAGCAGAGCAAAGTGCAATGTGCCATGTGGCAGGACAGCGCTGCAGACAGCAGGAGAGAGGGAATTCGGCTCTGACTCTCTCTTTTTCACAGCGCGAGGCCGCCCCGTCCGATCCGTTCTTTTCTCACCTTCTCGACGTTCTGTGTTCTGCCTGGTAGTCGGCATCCACGGCGATGACCACCAAATCATACTTGTCGTCAGCTCCCGCTCGGTAGGTGGACTGTCGTCCCGAGGCGATCCACTGGACGACGACCCAGCCTGGGGAGGCTTGGCCCCGTGTCTTCCCCACACGCTGGCCCAACACCTCGTCCGCATCATCGGGATACTGCCAGTCCGGGCCTCTCCTCACCAGCAGACCTGGCACCGGCGCCTTCAAGACGATCGGCTGCAGAAGTTGCCGCATGATCGTGGCCACCTTCTTGAGTGCGGCAGCTGCGCGCTTTTCTTCGAGTTGCTCCAGGTCTTCGGGAGTGCCTTCGAGCGCTAGGAACTGGGCGCATCGTTCTGCGTCTTCCTGAGCAAAGAAGAGCAGCAAGAAGAGCAGCAAGCAGAGCAAAGAGCAAAGAGCAAAGAGCGAAGCGCTTAGAGAAGAGGCGTGAACCCTAGCACTCGCACTCTCGCACTCGGCCGCCGCCGGGGCTCATTGCGCTGCAGCAGCTCGGCCAGGAGAAGTTGGATCACCACGGAGAACGGCGCTTCCCAGGCCACCTCCACACACGCGTCCTTAGCACTCGCGGTTAGCGGCCATCGCGGCTTTAAAACTTCCTTTCTGGCCGCTTTTCTCCGCTTGTCTGCAGGCACGTTTCCGTGACGAACTTCACCTGGTAGTAGTCTCCAAGTCCGGCGATGGCCAACACGTTCTCCTCCGAAATCACCTCATGTGTCAGAGATTCCCCTGGCCCCTGCCGCCCTGTCCAGCCTCCTGGTTTGTCAGCGCATTATGAATCAATGTGTGCCAAGAAGCATGCTTTCTTGAATGAAGACCACCAGGCAGAATCAAGCGGTAAAACACATCAAAGTCCTGTTTAGAAACCCCGTTCACGGAGACGCGTCGAGTCCGTACTTCTGCCATGCCGGAGCGGTACATTCTCCGAAAGACCGGGGAAGCCGCGCACAGCATCTGTGAACTGCCAACGCTCTCATCCCCAGAAGCAAACTGCAAGGTCACGTCTTTCACGTCAATTTCGTCGCAGTCGCTATCGCAGTTATCGCCCGCCGGGTCGTTTTGCTCAGAGGGTCCCCGCTTCGCCCGCTTCGCCATGGCAGATAGGCAGCCAAAAAAACATGGGCCAACTGAGCATTCTTTCACTACAAGTACTTCTCTTCTTACAGCCCGGCAATGCGTGCTATCCTCCGCAAGTGCAGCCACACTCCATCAATGAACTACATGGTGCTTTGATGTACGGCGGTCTCCTCGTCTGGGCCGAAGGCCACACTTCCACGGCGCAGCTTTGGCCGCACCTTGACTTTGCTCAAGAGGGCAGCCACGCCTCACGGACCGATTAGCAGGAGCAGATAAGCACAACACATCACAATACTATGGATGCCGCCGGGCCTTAAGTTTGCATCAGCTCGTCGACACGGTTTCACTATCACATGCTATCGCCAAGGTTACGGGAGCGGAGCGACAACCCTGTCGACAATGCTTTTGTTTGTCTGTCCTGTGGCCACGGCAAAGTCGCAGGGGATTGGGTGGCTGACACGGCAAAAGTAATTCAACCGCTAAAATTTGTGCGTGAAGGTTTGTTGTTGATATATGCTCACCTCACCGAGCGTATAGATGTGGTTGTGGTATGCCTTCCCAACATAGTAGTAGAACAGACAGCTTGCAGGCTCAACTTTCGTGTCCGTGCAAGGTTCGACTCCTCTGGGTTTTTGGGCAGAAAGTAGCTCAAGGCTAAAAGTTTTGAAGCATTATCTTGAGCCAAAGTTGTGTTATGGCGGGGCATATGATGCTAGGGGCGCTACCACATGGTGCCCCAAGCCAGCCCATGGGTAGGCTGCACAAGTAGTGAAACAAGGTCCACGAAGTGGTCCCTTGCTCTATGTACATGGTAGTCCATGACATCGTGTTCATAGCTGAGAATGCGACACCTACGAATTGGCCTAAGCATCGAGGTCCGTTCGCAACCCCCATGAGTTGTGCTTCCGGCATTATTCAGATGGGATATAAAAAGGAAAACATCCGCCGCAAGATTGAAATTGCTTGAGGAAAAAAGCCAAGACTTCCAATCAATCACGTTGTGACACTTCTCTACGTCAGTAGCGATCCCCTGAATAATGACTCCGCAGAATCAGAGGCCACCGAAAAAGTCAGCCATGAATCAGGATCACTTGGGTCTAAAGTGTAGAGTATACAGTATAGCCGGTGTCACGCAATGAAAGAAAACAGCTGCCAACCGGACAGTCCTCAGCGATTGTGCCGCTGTCATTCACGAAGACGCTCACGGTCTCGTTCGCGTTCCTCAGGAGACTTGGGCTTGCCCTTGCCCTTGTCGAAGTACGTATTGGCACTCTCATGCGCTCGCTTGCCTTTCTGGTTCGACGCAGAACTCTTGGCAGTGAAGAGAATCTTGTAGCTGCGCTTAGAATCATCGTAGCTCAAATTCTCGCAATGAAGTCCGAATTCCCACTTCATGGCCGGCGAGTCCTTGATCTTGTTGCACAAGCAATCCCGCAACGCTTTCTCGGAAGGGATATCCTTTGGTCGCATACGACTGAGAATTTCCAACCACGTCTGCTTGAACTGGTACAGCTTGTTGTCACCTTGATACTGAACCTTGATCAGGAACTCGAGTGACACGATCATGTCAAGCCTGTCACGAGTTCGGAAACTTTCGTACATCATTGTGATGATCTGTCTTCCCTTGATGATTTTCCCGTCGAAAAATCTGACGTACTCGTTAGCTTTCCTGTTCACTTCCAGGTAGATTTCTGCAGTTTTGTCGGATCCTGCACGTAGCATCGCGGTCATGGCGACACCCAACTTGACATCGATGCTCTTGACTTCTTGTGACCAGAAGCATTCAATGCCTCAATGTCAGGAAATGGTCGAAAAGCTGGACTCATCCATTTCATCCAATCCTCTTGATTGGGATCTGCACATGCAGCATGCACTCAAGACATTCGCAATGCACTGAGCCATCCAGTTGTCAAGGTGCGTCAGCGTATAGGGAAGGAAGGAACAACGACTTTGTCTGCTTCACGACGAGAAACTTTAACCTCCGTGACCTCCGGATCTTCTCTTCCGTCAGGATCATCTCCTTCAGGTGGGTCGGATCTGGGCCCTTACCGGGTTTGCGAGGTGGACCGCCAGCGTCGTAACCACCTTCAGGTTCGGGAGAGGGATCTGCGCCATGATTGTCGGGATCCGGATGGTCATTATCACCAGATGCCATTCATCTCGGTCAATTCGAAGTCGTTGTTCAGCGTTTTGTGCTTTCTCCATTTCGGCACGCATCTCCTCAATTTGCTCACGACGTTGATCTTCCGTCATCTTGATCGTAGGGTTGATGCTGCCATCATGGAACGTCGGAACGTTGGATTCTGCAACAAGTTTTGCGACAGCGATGTCCGACGCTAGGTCACTGACACGATTGACATTCTTCGAGCCGCTGGTGGATGATGATGAAGTTCGTCCGTTCATCCCCAGTGTTCGAAGTAACTCGTTGAGTTGTCGATCGCGTACAGCTCTGGCATCAACATATTCGCTCGTTCTCTATGAAGGTTCCATGCAAGCACATGAGAGACCAAAAGAGAGAAAGCGCACTCACTCTTTTTTCCCGGCGGAAGTTGCAATGTCCGTGCCAAGCGTGGCGAGCAGTTAAGTCTGTGTATGTCGTTTCCCATTTGAGCCACCGGTGCGGCGCGGTGCTTATCATGAGAACACATAGAAAACACTGCTGACTAAAAATACAAACGCACAGCGAGCATACCCCTTTTTGGACTTGCTGCTGATGTGTCCTGCGGTAACCGCTCGGACACTGGTCCTGGCACACCCTGTGCAAATCGTACGGGTGGCGCTTCGTCCATAACCAAATGATTGCATCATGCGTGACTTCCACCGTACCGATCTTGTCACGATTAGCTGGACTTCGATAACTGGGGGTAACGACTTCAGGGGATCGCACTTCTACTCGTATGGGAAAAGCACTGGCCCTATCTTTACATATACATTCCCAGCCCGACTCAGTAGTCCTTGACGTGCACTAGCTCCTATATCCCACCACCATCCCCGGTACTCCACCAGGACGATAGTAGTAGTAAGTAGTTAGCTTGCGAGCTAGCCGAGCGACGACCAAGAGAGACAAGAACACTCAGCTAGCAAGGACACACTTTTTGTCTGGAGTGGCAACTATCCCAGGTTGCCTGGAGATATCCGATAGCCTTCGGCTATCCATCCCCACGCATCGCCACTCAGGCTACCAGGGATCTAGCCTCCTGGACTTCCGGCTAAACTTCGACACCCTATCCGGGGTCCCTCGCTTCCGCGTGCCTAGCTCCTTGTAGAAGCTATCGGCATGCGCGAGTAGCCGGCCCAGGACACGCCACTGGAATTCCTCCCCCTTCAAGTCTATCCTTTGAGAGGGGTCAAATTCCTTGAACTCCTCATTGGTGAGATCACCCGCTAGCTGGTTGATGTCTCTCCGTATCCACTGGAGCTGTAACTCGCAGTTCTTCTGGGATAGCTCTTCGGCTACCTCCATTAAAATTAGCATGGATGGATACTTGGTCGTCATAGCCTTCTTCACAAGTGCCTCGTTGGACTTGTTATCCGTATATCCACGGATGGCAACTCGCGAGGTCTTTCTATCCTCGCCCTCGGGGACCCAGAGACGTATCCCCACGAGGGTCGCTAGCAGTTCTAGCGCACCTATAACCTTCTTGGGATCGCCTTTCGAAAAGGCCCAAGGAGCCCAGGCCTTATCCACCTCCAGTGAAAACCAGGGTCGCGGCTTTCCTTCGGATCTCTCCAGAAAGCCCCCTATCCAGACCCTATCGGACTCAGCTTTAGCATCCGTGAAAAAGCTCAGTGGTGGTAGCCCGGCGTAGAGGGTCACTGGACGTTGTAGCCTCTCCCCCTGGTCGAGCTTGTCGGCTAGCCATCGCATCAGGACTCGGAGCATCGTCGGGATGATGAGGTAGACATACTTGATGCCAAACACTTTGAGGCATACTGAATGTCAATTCTGTCCTGTGCAAGGTACAAAATAGATCCGAGTCCAGATCTAAACCGTTTTGTCTCTTCAGCACTCAACTCCTTGCTCCGGTCTTCCTTCACCAGATCCACATGCTCTGGTGTGGCCTTACTCTCCAGTTTTCCAAGGTCATACAACTCAATGAGCTTCCGAACATACTTCTCATTCGGTTGAACAACAATTCCTTCTTGGGTGAAGACATACTTCCTTTTGAGATACCGCATTTCTTCTCCACTTCCTACTCCATTCGCTGTATACGGTCCTTCTTTCTCCACCTTGAATACTTTCTCCAGTTCTTCCACCAACCAAATGGTTTCTTCCTTTTCTCCTGCTAGTAGCTCATCGTCTACATGGATAGAGATACACAGCTTCCTTGTGGTGTGTCTAGCTAGTGCGGGTACATGTACTGAGAACACAAATCCAAGTTTCTCCAGTATACTCCGCAAGTGTTCATACCATCTTGTCGCTGCGTCTCTTTGCCCGGGTAGGCATCTCTTGAGCCTCCACACGATTCCTTCTTTCAGGTTCGCGGCTCGTTTCATCCAATCACTGATCGTGATTAGCACCTCTTCTTGTTGCGGGACCTGAAGGTACGCGTCCTTTATATCAAGTACAACTACGACCCAGTTGTATACCAGGTGTAACAACAAGACTAGGCGCGACGCGGCGTTGCTTGCCGTTGGGCTGAATGTCTCAGCCGTTGAACTCGCACCTGCCCTGTACTCCCTTGCCACTATCCGGCACCTCCTTTTCCAACGTCCGTCACGATGCCTCCAGTCGTAGACTTCGCGCAAATCCATACGCTTCTCATCACCTGTAGCATTCGCCTCCATGAATTCTTCGATTACTCCTAGCTTGCTGAGGCGATTCAATTCTTCCACAGCTGCTTCCTGATCCAAGGTATCCAGTTCCTCTGGACTTAGTTCCGGTGGTGTTTCTCCTTGGTCATTCTTTGGAACTTCTTCCATCTCTTCTTCCATGAGATCTTCATACTCCACGTCTTCTCCTTCTACTGCCGTGAGATCCTCATGTTCATCCCAATGAAAGGGTCATCTTCCTGAGA